AATTACCACCAAAACTGTTCTGGTAGCAGATGCAGAGATACAAGCTGTCGACTCTGTTAAAGACCTTGGAGTTACACTTGACTCACACCTGGCGATGGACACTCATGTAAATCAACTCTGCAGAATATGCTTCTTTCATCTACGAGCCATTGGCAGAATACGCCATCTCATCAGTCGTGATGCAGCACACGGTCTGGTCCAGGGACTTGTTATATCAAGAATTGATTACTGCAATAGCCTCCTTTTGGTATTTCTCAGAAGCTGCTATCAAAATTGCAAAATGTCCAAAATACAGCCTCCCGAATCATAAGCAGAACTTCAAAGCGCTCACACATAACACCTGTCATGAAAAACCTCCACTGGCTGCCTGTTAAATCAAGAATTGACTTTAAAATATTGTGTTTTGTCTACAAATGCCTCAATGGCATAGGCCCAGAATACCTGAAGGAACTCCTTACCCCGTACACTCCAGAAAGACAGCTCCGTTCTCAGAATCTGAACCTACTCTCTGTGCCTCGGTTCAAACTGCAAACTTTTGGAAGGAAATCCTTTGTCTGCTCTGCCCTCTACTCTGGAACTCTCTCCCTATCACCATTAAATCAGCAGTTGACTTTTATTCCTTCAAACGACTTCTCAAGACTCATCTGTTTTCACTGCATTATGACTAGCAACTAGTCCCTTATTGTATATATGTATTATTATCCACTCACTTTGTTAGCGCTTTGAGCATGGGCCTTGTGCATGGAAAAGGCGCATTATAAGTTCACATTTATTATTATTATTATTATGTACTTATGTGATATAAAGTGTCCGAAAAGATCGAACATGATGGACAAATGAGATTGGTGCTAACATGTGATATAATAAGAATACGGACAACGTTATATTCAGGCCAAGGGACGGACGACATTTTTGACAGACGTCAAATGTATGCTATGACCATTAACAACTTTGGCTCCAGTGCCCAGCACCAATATGCCCTGTATCCTGGAATTGATGTTGTCCTATGTGTCCTTTAATAATTCGGACACTAATAAGATTGATAAAATATTTGGTAAATGCAAACAGAAAACGGACAGCAGACTGTCAATTAGTGCCTGGGAATGATTGTCGGCAACAAATGTCAAAACACGGAATTACTGTCATATTGCAGGTACAAATGTAGGAAATACAGCAGGTTATATATTGTCCTCTATGTCTTTAAAACAAATGAATTTCTACCATAGAGATGCAGGAAATACCAGATAATGAATATGTTGTAGTGATATAAAAAACGGACATCCAATTTATAATTAGTCACAGCCCTAACGTAAATGTTGTTGACAGGTCACCGTAACCTGAGAAATTTCAAACAGATCAAATTCGTTATACATTGTAATCAAGTGCTAATTTTCATTAGTTTTACTTCATGGAATGCACTTTAAAACATTTCTGAACGAAAGTTATCAGAAAAATCGTCATTAATAGAGTGTAATAAGTCATTGTTTTCTGGGTCCAAAGTCACACTTACTTTCTATAAATGGCCACGAAGCTGGAATTGTACGCACAGAAGTAGTCCTTGACAAACATCGGTGTTATCACTCTCAAAATACACAATGATTCAAGACAGTGAATAAATATATCATTTGGAGACATAGGAAGTACATAAGTCTGTACAATAATGAGTACACAATGACATCAGTAGTAGAGATCCTTCATGGGTGTAAAATAGCGTAGTGACACACAATTAGTGAGTAGGTCATGTCTGACAGAGTGCCTGCTACCGCGAGCGTTCGGTGTTTGATAAAACATGGCTACCAACGGTGAATATACTTATTAAAGATGACTCAGATCTGTGAACTTCAGAACCAGGTAAACTGTCTTTGATGTTGTTAGGTAATTATTTGCTTTAATGTTAAAAAATATGGATGGACATTTGCAGATAGATCGTGATATAACGAAAATAGGTGACACTTATGATTGACAGGTTTACATGATGTTTTTTTAATACTTTTACTACATTTTATTTAGATTATATTGCAATATGTATAAAGAAATAAGTTGGCATCCAGAATAAAGCGTCCAGATTTTTCTTTGGGTGAGAAAAAAAGCCTCAATGTTGGCTGCTAGAGGGAGAAATGGATGGAAGACGGGACACCAAGATTAAAACTGAAGTTCCTCGAAGTTTCCATAAAAATCATTACCTTTAGTGAGACATCTGATGCAATAGAAAGGTGAAACATATGTACACACGATTAACAAAATGAAATGAAATGGTATTGAGCAATAATAGACTTACAAATCATCAAAAGCATGTACCCGTGAAACAGTCGTGCAAAATGTGCTGCATTGATGGAGCAAAATGTTAACATTAAGGTTCAAGTCAGTTTTTGGACAGTGAAGCAGTGTTCAGTAACGCGTGTGACCACTTATGAGCACAAATGCAAGCTTCTACACGTCTTTGCATTGACCAAATGAACCTTTAAAGTTGCTGTTGTGGAATGTTCTGCCAAGGTCCAAGGTCATCCAGAGTCTAGGGGTGAACATGGAGATCGTAAACACGACTTCAATGTTCAATGGGATTAAGATCAAGTGGCCTTGCAGGCCAGTCCATATGCATATGTGATGTTGTTGATCTAAACAACATCGTTAACAACTCTTTCTCGGGCATTATCATCCATGGACGGGCATTATTATCCATAAAAATGAAGTTAGGGACCCGCTTGCTGTACCAGAGGAATGATTACAGGTAGGTTTACACCGATAAGGGTGCATGTGTGAAGAGTGGAGGACATTCATGCCACACATTTTGCATGTTGTTTCTGAGGGTTTGTCAATGTTATCAGATAAATCAATTTGACAGTCACTAAAGGTTATGTATTCTTTATTTTCCTTTCAATAACATGTCAGCAAAATCGCTATCGAGATTGATAAAGATATTACACTGAAAAATACTTGTTGCTTAATTTTTGGTGAGGAGTATAAGTCGTCAGATAAAAGCAAATCCTCATGGGATTTAAAGGTTTGTGAATTTGTGAAAAGCTTATTCATTCATGGAAACAAGGGCGTTTTAAGTTATTGTGTGCAGACTAACAGTGCTACATTATCAATGCATGCCTTGAAGAGTTGGATACAAGCAATACTGGTACTCTGATATGTTCAACGACAAAGGTAACTTAAATGGAAACAAAGTACGAACATATAGGACATTTAAGCAAGGTATCCAAACTTTTCACTATCTGACGATGTCTCCCCACAGACAACAAAGAAGTTTACAAGCCTCTTTGCACTGTGGAAACCTTCCCCTGGGTATAGAAAGTGGCAGGTATACCAAGTCTGCTACCCCCCTGGAATATAGACTCGTCAACTATGTAATGAAGGATGAAGTACATTTTGTTGTGGTATACCTTGTAAAACATGACACTATAATAAACTATAATATCATTATCATTATTTATTTCAGAAAATCTGTTAAGTGTGTTTATTAACCTCTTCCGGGGTGTCTATCATGACCCAGTGGCTAGCCTCTCTATGCATTTGACTGTATGTTTGTCTACAAAGCATTAGCAGTAGCTGGTAGGGGAGGACTCCAAGGGCCACGTCCTTGCAGAGCTCTAGATGGTCAGTACTTCGGGCAGGGGAGAATCCTCAGGATCTTTTTGCAGGAGTACCGTGTTGGCAGCGCTCGATAGTAATTGATGGCAATATGTTGCAGCACCTGTTGGTAGGAAAAGGGGAAGCATCGAACAAACAGAGTGAAATACATACAAACAATCTGCTTGAATCACAGTACCACAAGACGAGACTCTAAGTGCCATCTCCATGTGGTCAAGATGATCAGTGAGTGAGATGGTTTTACGCCGCTTTTAGCAATATTCTAGCAATACCACGGCGGGAACACCAGAAATGGGCTTCACATAATATATTGTACTAAATATCAAAAACGAGAATATAATTTCACTCATAACAAGATATGTTCCCCCTCCCATCCCACCCTCCTTTGGTTGATAAATTAAACTTCGAGTTGTTTCAGCAAATGACTTTGCAAATCTCACAAACACTAATAACAAAAACATATGCATGTTCAGATTTTGAGTCTGTGGCATGCTGTCTGGCTGAAATAGGAAGGTAATGACATTTGAAATCACAAAAAGTGTTAATATGTTTCACTCATGAAAACATGTTTCCCTCATGCTTTATTTATTTATTAGTTCAAGTTGTTACTATAAATGATTTTGCTCCAACACTAGCTACCACCTCATAATACATCGTGGAATTTTATGTCTTCTTTCTGAATGTAATCAGGTCATATATTTGACAAAGTTCGAAAATAGGGTTACTTGCGTTAATTTCATGATACATTTTAGGCAAGGGTTTACGCGTTCCCATTTATTTGGTGATGTGATACAGTAATTTGAGGAATTTCTGAACACAAACAGCAAAGAGGTTCAAAGGAGTTGTTAAAATTATGTCTAGTTTCACCTTATTTCATGGCATATATCTAAAATATATTCCTAAACTCATCCAAATGTTCCCAAGTTCAACCAGTATCAACAATGAAAGACCTTACAGTCCATAGGCAGATCCAGAAGGGGGGTGCAGGGATGCGCAGGGGTGCGCACCCCCCCTTTTGTCCTGAAAGTTTATTAAATGACCATTGAAACTCTGGTGAAAATGAAGTGTGCACCCTCCCTTTTCTCAATAGTCTGCGCGCACACACACACACACACACACACACACACACACACACACACACACACACACACACACACACACCTATGGTCTTGGGAGTAGCCCTAGTGGTTAAAAGCTGTATCCGCCCCTGCAGTCTTCCTATGGTCGTGAAGTTGGAAGTCTAATCATGCTTATGGGAGAACCCTCTGTGGTCACACCTGTCTACAGTTACCATGGTTACCATTAGCAGATACAAAATACTTAGTTGTGTATCATGTCCCAAGAGCACGATGAACAGATGCTCAGGGTACAGATGTTATAGAAGAAACTAAAGATATTTTTGGTACCAAGATTTCCTGAACTGCGTCCAACTCTTATGCATGAAGCTTCGGATGATGCCTGGATGGGGGCAGTTCATCACGATCAGCTTGTCGACCAGTTCTGGGTGGTAGGCAGTGAATGACCAGGCAATGATGCCGCCCCAGTCATGAGAAACCAGCACACAGGACCTGTAGCCTGAGGAAACAGAAGCAGCTGGAGTGTCCTGGAGAATCTTGTTTAGACTCCATAAAACACACAAGAAGCACAAAACTACTTCTATGTAAATATTTTCCTTTTGATCACGCTTATTCATATTTCATGGTACAGTATACCAAGAGAGTGTATTTTCTCTGTATAAACTGATCGTTGACTTATCAGGGAAATAAAGACCCTCAATTTGTGTAAAAAGTTGGAAAAACTCATGATGGATGTTCACTAACTTCTCATAAACATCATTCCAACTAGAGCCCGATTTCTATGACATCAAATTGTTTGTTTGCTTGTTGTGTAACGATGGAACTCAGAAATATGACAGTGGTTTGCAAATAACTGATTTTGGACCAGACAATCCAGTGAGTGACCTCACGTGCATTGATCTACAAAAATATAATGACATGCGTGAACTAGGTCAGCGAGCCTGACCTCCCAGTCCTGTTAGTCACCACTTAGGACTATCACCTCCAAAGTTTGATGTTACCTAGAGCTGGGATGAGTTGTTTCAGATCGGCCACCATCTTGGATATCTGGTAATTGTCAACACCGGACGGCTTGTCAGAGTCACCATAGCCTCTCAGATCAATGGCCACAACCCTGGGTTAAAACAACACAGGAATTAAAATTAATCAAAGAGGAAAAACAAAGGTCATAGGTATTGTATCAGAACGGGATTCATTCATGTTTGCAAAATAAGAACTTTGACATATTTGTGTACCTTTCTGGTAAGACAAGCGATACTATTTGTTTGTTACTCTCTGATGCATGGAGATTGGCGAGTGAGTGAGTTTAGTTTTACGCCACACTCAGCAATATTCCAGCTACATGGCAGCAGTCTGTAAATAATCAAGTCTGGACCAGACAATCCAGTGGTCAACATAATGACTTTCAGATGGGGTTGGTAACTTTATGATCAGGTGAGTGATGTTATGTTGGGGTGAGGAACTTTCTTATGGGTTGGACGACTTTCTGAAATGTACTTGCCTGTTGGTAGCCAGGTGTATCTGATTGGATGGGTAATTTATTTCCTGGGCAGGTAATCTTTTGACTGATTACAGCAAGGTTGAAGCAGGTAACATTCTGATACATTTTGAAACTGGTCTTTGAACTTAATGTGGGAGGACCTACCTGGCAAACACAGTAACAGAATGAGAGCAAGACTGGGATTAGCACACCCAATCATACATTTATGGCAAAGCCAAAGAAATACAACTCCGGTCACCTGTAATCCTTCTTGAACTCACGCAGCTGGTATCGCCATGAGTACCAGAACTCTGGAAACCCATGCACAAACAGCATCAACGGTTTGGTCTCGTCTCCCTGGGCAACATAGTGGATCCTAACATCCTGAAATAAGAAAAAAGAATAGTTTAACAGTGGAACAGGGACACCTGACTGAGACTTGCATCAGTCGATGAACATCAGAAGAACATAGATTTTTTATATGATTGGCCAAACCATCATGTCACACCATGTCTCACATGAATCCATGAAAAGTCAATACTCTAATCAAATATCCAGTGTCTGCTTGTTTCATTCTTCCTGCAGAACAATTTCTTGAATATTGCATGAATCACTGGATAACAATATGTCAAGGCAAAATCTGACAGTTTCGATTTTCACAGATTCAATATTTGGCCTATACTCCTAATCAAATATCCAAAAGTGTCTGCTTGTTTCATTCTTCCTGCAGAACAATGCCGACTCTGAGAAATTCTTGAGAGAAAATCGGTCGAGCTGTTGTTGGTGACGAATGTTCCAACACAAGTCCACATAAGATATCCCAGATATGCTCACAGTGGATAACATTAGTCTTGAGAATGAGTACTTGTGGTGAACGATTATCGGACTGAAATCACCAATTTGAACGGTTTTCCCAGATTTTTTCTAATAAATGTTCATAACGATGCAATGAAATCGAATCATGACACCAATAAATGTTTCAATGCGCACAGCTTTATGTTGAGCGCATGTTTGTTCGTGAATATTCGTCAAATTTAATCGCTAGTTAACTTCATTCAAGTGTGTTAAACTAAAACAACAAAATTCCAATTAATTGAAAATATGTTTTTTCACAATCGATAATCATTTTTAATCCTTCTTTCGATCGATTTTCGATTATTTTCGATCATCGGAATACCACTAATAGTGATCCCCTCCCACACCATTTCTGTCTAGCTGTAATGGCATGAATACATGTACATTTATTCCATCTACGCCACACCCTGCTGCACCTGCCAAGGAGTCTGAAGTAAACGTTCATTCATCAAAAAATAACAGGCCCAGCACTGCCGTTCTTGTAGTAATCTGACAAGCCGTCAATCGTGGGATAACATGTGATCATCGGGCATGCAGGTTCCATCTGTGTAGCTGATTATGAATCATCTGTCCACTCACTCTGATACTTGTGAAGCTCACATCTCCAATTTGAGAGATGTACTTTGACCACGGTTTTGTAACACAGTTACAAAACGGTCTTGTGGACCAGTTGTCACACTTGATATTTCATAAACGCTTTTGTCTATCGACAGTGATTGTAATTACTGACTGTGAAACATTAACAGCTCATGCCAAAGTACTCTGTGTTCTTTCAGCTTCCAACATGCCAACTGCATGTAGCCATTCCTGGTGTGACACATGCCACAATTGGCATGTTTGCACTAAATTAAAGGATGGAATAATTATTTTCGAAATCCAAATACAATCACATAACTTGGTTCCCAAATAATATCATCCAAACCCGGAATATCCCCTACATTTTTTAGTAGTATAAGTAGGGCTGTGTATTGCCCCAAATTTCGTATTGCGATATATTGCAAAACACTCTTCTGTATTGCGATACGTACTGCGATATACAGTCAAATCCCGATGATTCGAATGCCGGTGTCTCGAATATTATGCATAACTCGAAGTACCTGTTGGTCCTGACCATTCCCTGTTATAGTTGTCATCATTTGAATACCGGTTACACGAATTCGTCTCATAAATACACACGATGACTCGAGAAGGAAATTTGGTCCCATGAGATGCAAACAACAGCAATCTTGTATACATAAGCCGAACCAAAACCAAAACCAGAACATTCTTCTGTGTATATTTTAATTTTAAAACAGCAGGGATTGACACTCACTAAATATTTTAACTAGTCCTCCGGGCTAGTGGATTTTGTATGTCACTAGTCCTATCCAAATATAACTAGCCCTACACTTTACTATAAAAAACTTTCAACAAGTCTTTCTTTTAATGGTAACTGCTGTCCAAAGGAAAGTTAACACAGATAAGTGTATGATTTCTCATTTAATATATATGACAAATTCAACTAAAACTAGCTTATACATCATGTCCTCCATCAACCCACCCATACTAAACTAACGGACAAAAGAAACAATACTAAGTCAAAATCACTGATATTACAAAACGACAAACCACCATTGTGTAAAGGAAAGAGAATTTTGATAACAGGTGTACTCCCGCCATTTTAATCCATTTGAAAGATGTCATAATATCCTCTTACCTGTTTCTTTCACATTTTCATTTTTTAAGTAATCAGAATATTATTATCTAAAGATTAATGAAATAATATGTGCGGTGGCCTATTTCCCGATAACCGTTGCTTTTCGCCCGGTAGGGGCGGTGGGGTAGCCTAGTGGTTAAAGCGTTCGCTCGTCACGCCGAAGACCCGGGTTCGATTCCCCACATGGGCACAATGTGTTAAGCCCATTTCTGGTGTCCCCCGCCGTGATATTGCTGGAATATTGCTAAAAGCGGCGTAAAACTAAACTCAGTCAGTCAGTTTTTCGCCCGGTAACATGACACAACATTGGGAAATGCCTACGTTTTCGAAGCTCCGTATGAAAGACACTCGAAAAGATTAATTTGATGGCGGGTATCGTTCAAATGCTCTTATCATCAATAATATCACAATAACCTTACCAGGAGTATTTTCGTAGTTGTAAGAAGCTATTTTATTGGATAAAAATTGGTTCCTAATGACATCGATTCTTTGCTCTTTGACAATATTTATGTGGATTCGTTGCCAATCATTTGGAAAGACTTCCGCCCAATCCCCACCACCCATATTACCTGAATATACATGTATACATATCTGTTTCCTCACCATTATACAGAGGGTATACGGGCGGAAGTCTTTCCTGCTGTGTTGAATGGATTAAAATTGAACAAATAAATCTTTGTCGGTATACCGGTACATCATGAACATATCGCAATACGTAATTGTTACAATGTCGTATTGCAGTTTACACGTATACCGGTAATACCGTGCAGCCCTAAGTATAAGCATCATTAGGGAACAGAACTAACTTTGAAACTGTGCCGGACGAGCCTACAAAGATTGGGGTTTTTTTATACTTAGGTAAGGGACCGTTCATAATTCATGGCAAGGGGATGATGATGATTTTTATGCAGAAGCATGTACAATGTGACAAACACACACACACACACACACACACACCCTGCATATCATGTACAAAATCAATGACCCCCTTTGACCTTCCCATAATTTTAAGCATTATTTTTAACATTTTATGTACAAAATTGCTGACACCCCACCACCACCATCAGTACATGTGTACAAAATTGCTGACCAGCCAGACCCCCTACTTCCCCAAAACAAAATGGGTGACCCCCCAGCCATAAATTATGAACGGTCCCTAACACATCTATAGATCTTCAGGTAACACACCTTATATATCTCTCCATTGAAAATACAGAACTTTGAATGTCTATTTCCAGTCTACAACAAATTTCCACTAACTCTTTGGTGTCAGAAAGGCAATGAGTTGAAAATACACTGCCTGAGAGTGAAAAAAACAACTTTTCCAGAAATTATTCATGCGTCATTGTGTGTTCATGTAGCCTGGTAACTATGGTAACGTAACTTGGTCATCTTGGCAGAATAGTTTAATATGGAAATGCTAGTGGAAATTCGTGTTGCTTAAATTATCTGTTTTGGTTGTTGTTTTTTTCGCTTATCAATGCTGATAATGATTATTGTCATAATAGCAGGTTAGATTGTAGAAATGATTTCCAAATGACTCAGCAAAAGTGACTGGGCCTCTGTCCTAGCTTTTAGTCCAAAGTCAAAAATATAGGACGACCTGTCTCACCTGTCGCGACAGCACAAGGTGTCAAGAATAGGTTGTACGATTGTTACCACTTACCCCACTTTGTGCAACTTACTGTCATCCTATCTAAACTGACCGTAAATGTGTAAAATAAATCTGAAACCTCTGCATCATTAAGCACAATTAATTAATCAAAAGTCCAGCGTTGAAATACGGTTTGTACACTCACCTCCAAGTGAACATAGCCATGTGTTCCCAAGTCCGGGTCGTTTAGAACTGATGGCATCACATCTCGTTTCTTGCGGGAGAAAAATGCGATAGGGTGTTTCACAAAACCCAGAGTTAAAGTGAACAAAACGAATGTTGAATAGAAACAGCCGAGACCGAAAGAGATCCACCTGACGAGAATACCTTCGATCGCCATACTTCCTGGTTGGGAGAGTCAAAAGTGTGACGGTAATGAATAGAAACGAAATGCAGCACGACTTCTGTTCAGTACTGCGCGGACTTTGACCCACGTGGGTCAACGTATGGGTGGTTGCATACTAATCTCGTACGTCACGACGAGTGTCGTATCACGTTGACCTGAGATTCTAACGATTTGATTGGATAACCGATGACCTCTCAGTTAGGTCACGTTACTACTTGTTCATTCATAACAAACACGTGAATTCATTCATTCTACAACTTATGCATTGTGGGAATGTAAACATTGCGAACGTTGCCGTGTCGCTGTTTAATTGTGAACCGAACTGAGACATTATATCCGTGGCAAAACATAAACGCAATGTTTCCACCAGTGATATTAGCCGAGTGAAGCAGTTGCAAACCAAGAAACGGTGTTCTACGGAGTAGTTTACTGTAGGAGGCTGTACGAGAGGCGATGACAACTGACATGCATCGTGACGTCGGTTACCAAAGGGACAGACGAGAATGGCGTAGTGACGTCATTACAGTGTGACGTCATGCAAAAGTGTACTACAGAACAAAATTCTTCCGCAACCTCTTTATGAAACCGGTTGCGGTTTGAAACCATAACAATAACAAAAATACGCTATTTTGTCAATTCAATGCATGTAAGACGTGGGTAATAATCTCTATGTATGTCAGTGATAACGTTGTACATAGTATATTGATGTGGTAATTTCATAGATAGATAGTTATACTGTTAAGCGAACAATGTCTCTTTGAAACAATGCAAAGATAAGGTGGCTGTTAATATGTTTTGGTGCAATACATTTCAGTTGTTTCTAGTAAAGACTCATACCATGAACGGCACATATATGCCACTCAAAAGAGCCAGTCCACTGACACTCATCGCAGTGTTATTGTTTATAGTCCCCTTCAGAAACAGCTGTTTTGCGGCGATATTGTCCTTTATCAGATAGAACCTGGGGTTTTATAGACCTAGAGTTACACAGGCTCTTCCCAAAGTATAGAACTCGATTCTAATCTTATTATTGTGCTTATTAATTGTGGATGTGTTTAACAACTTCATTAATAATTATCATATGCATCTTAAAATATACATAGAATATATTCTGTTTTCATCAGATCTGTGACAAGCTACTGCATTCCCCTTAAAGTAAATGAAGCAACGATACAACTGGATCATTCATTTTACCGATGATTGCAATTGGGTTCCTGACTCACATATACATTCTAGTTTATATATGTTTTCATTCGAAACGCGTAACGGCGAAAACTCGGATTATGGATTCACCCAAAGAATTGAGCTTGATAAGATTAATGTCAAAACGGAAAAGCCACTGTCATATAAATGGCTCATATTTATAGTCAGACCAATAAGATTATATTTATTTATTTCTGTTATCAAGATGACTGACAGTGTACTCAATAATATTGCTATAGACCCACAGCACACGCAATGTTTGGTGGCATGAATTATCCATGTAATTGGAGAAACAGTTTAATTCTCTTTGCTGTTAGTCTTTGCTTAAATATAGAGTAATGTTATATACAACATCAAAGTTTTCAAATGTAACAATTTCGATCAAAGATGTCACAGTTTGAGACTTGATGACCTGTTTAAGATACACGTATATATGATCTGAGTAACGCTCACATACAAGCAATACATAGAATTCAACTTCATAACAGACCCACAGCACTCACACTCATCTCTCAACGTCAACCAAACTTTGCATATGGTATCAACGGAAGCTATATCTCTAGGTGTTGACATCATTCATATCAACAGACATAAACACGTACAGGGCAAATGATACCCTTTCACCAAAATGTATACATGTATATGTTAACCTCCACACAGTTGCTGATGCAATGTGCACAACTTGAGATGTAATGGGATACATGAGAGCAAGAGTGAGCATATCATATGTACACAATGTTCGAATAGGGTTCCAAAAGATTACCCAGCCTCCTTTGGTCAGAGATACCAAGGCCATGTGACATGTCCCAGAACCTCTCTCTCTCTCTCGACCCCTGGAAAGACATCCGTCTCTCTCTGACAACCGACTCAGTCAATTTTGCTCAGTCATTGTCACATAGATGAGAGCAAGAGTGAGCTCCCCGTATGTACACAAGAAAATAGGTTCCAAAGATTACCCAGCTTCTTTGGTCAGAGGCCATGAGTATGTCCAATGCCCTGTAAACCTCTCTCTGACAGAGGCCCAGTCAATTTTGCTCAGTCATTTTCCCAGGAAGCGCTGCCTTCTTCAATCTACCAAGAACATTTTGGGCCAGAGTGACAAAATGGTTTATACCTGGCAGCAAACCCGGATACTCTCCCAAAGTCGGTCAACTGATTGGGAGGTGCAAAACCTAAGGCACAAAGAACAGTCGGCCCGCTGAACAAAGAGATCGTACTACGTAGCGCTGACAGTAACTCTCATACTTTAACGCTACGGTCTCTTTGTAGAGCTGGGCCTTGGTACTTTGGTCTCTTTTTTGCCATCTTTCTCCTGACTCTGGACGACCATAGTGAGAAACGTCGAAAGTTTGGAGTCATAAAGAAAATGCAGTGATTAAAATGATTTCATTGGGTTTATAACACACGACAACGTCAGGTTATTGGCCAGCATCCGTATGAGACTGCATACGGACCAGTTCCAGAGAATTATCATTTTCCATGTCGCCCTCTACATATTCTGGGTCGTACCATATGGATCTGTGAGACAAAACTACAAGTATGGGGAAATGATAAGAGAATTGAACCAAACCATCATGTCACCTAAGGTGCTGTGTTTGTGCCACCTTTAGACATCTACTGTTTTTTCACTGTTTTTCACCTATTTTCACGAAATACATTGCACGAACTACAGTACATGTTTTTAGATTTTGAAACAAAACCACACATATAGGGTTTCTTGTGAGATGTGACTGGTTCAGGGCAGCACAGAGAGGGCCTTCTGATACACTTCATCCAAGCATACTGCACGTTAACTCCAGTCTTTTGTCAGTTTCCTTTAAAAAACACAGCCTTAGTTGTAGTAGTAATAGTAGTAGAAGTAGTAGTAGTAGTAGTAGTAGTAGTAGTAGTAGTAGTAGTGGTAGTGGTAGCAGTAGTAGTAGTAGGAGTATAAGTAGTAGTAGTAGTAGAAGTAGTAGTAGAAGTAGCAGTAGTAGTAGAAGAAGTAATAGTAGTAGTAGTAGAAGTATTAGTAGTAGTAGTAGTAGTAGTAGTAGTTGGCAGCAAAACGTATGAGATTGAGTTGGCAACATAAAATTAAAGCAAATATGAAATCGCCCCTCTCACTTACTGACAAAAAACGCAAACATAAAGGTCAAATACTGTATTTATCTTTTCAAAATGTTGTTGTATACATATTCTTCACACAAAATAACAGCAGGAAGCACATTTGTCTATAAAGCACTTGTGTGCATTAACCATCTTCATACAATGATCAAGATACAAATCTATACACACAGTAACATCATTACATAGTATGACCAAATATCTTTCAACCTCGTTTTCACAACATGAAATGAATGAGGGCACACGATTGTTATTCATTTTGGTTTGAAGGCTCAAACAGAACGATAATGATGTATATATGGGTTTATTAGCCACGCTTCTAAGATGCCTAGCGGTTAGAACAATCGAAAAATAATTACATTATCAGACAATAAAGGCAGATTCAAGATATTTTATTAAACTTTTATTTCATTGAAGGATTTCAGGTCTCTTTCAGAACGATACAACACTATGACGTCATATTCGAGTTATGATCGTCGTAATATATCATGGGAGTTTGAAGAGTTAATACTACAAACTACTACAAACTCACTTTATACAGTAATCTCCCCTAGTGTACCGTGATGTCACTTGCATTGTGACGTCATGACTCAGTTATGACGTCATAGTGACGACGTCATAGTCCTAACTGCCAGTTCACCTGATGAAGGGACCTGGAATGGTCTCGAAACGTTGTGAGAGAAATTAAAAAAGAAGTTTAATCCATAAAAATATCTTGGACATCAATGTACAACTTCTAAATGCCACTGAAAGACAATAAAGGTATAGTTTTTTGATGACGTAACAATTGAATGACGTTATCCCGTCACTGCGCCATTCTAGTGTGCCTCCTCGTAATCGAACCATTTTACATTACGTCACAATGTAAGCGACGTCACGATGCATGTCAGTTGTCGCCTCGTACGGCCTCCTACAGTAAACTACTGCGTTGCATCCCGTTTCTTGGTTTGCAGTTGCTTCACTCACCTAACATCACTGGTGGAAACATTACGTTTATGTTTTCTGACGTAAAATGTCTCAGTTCGACTCACAAGTTTTCAGCGGTCACGGTAACGTTCGCAATGTTTACATTCCCACAATGCAATCGTGGAATGTCGCTTGACTACTCAGCTTCGTCTGGATGTACTGATCTAAACATACGTTGGTAATAGAAATGCGACGTTCACATGGTTTACGTTAATCACAGATGTAATTAAAATAATTTAGAGAAGATATTTAATCCGAACGTAAACCGTCATCAAACTGTTTATCATTTGTTTTTCTGGTAACGTTCGTCTTAACGTTGGGGGGCAGACACATCAATAGAACAGCGCGCCATTTAGCCCTGTGCGAGGATTGTTAATTTAGGTCACCGACACCGTCGTTTGTTTTCTGCCTTAAATTAATCGTAATTATCCTTAGAAAGTATTAAATTTGGCATCTTAGAAAAGAAATACAGTTTGCTCTACCACCATGTATAGTGTAATAAAACACACTTTCGCCCTGAACTATTATGACGTTAAAGCACTCGGTTAAATAAAAGGATAAAATAGAAAAAAGTTGGCTGGTCTATATAGTAATCAAAGTTAAGAATTAAAGATAGTTAGCAAGTACATTAGTCAAATATGCAAGTTATCATATCTGCCTGAAGCGGAATTTCTGACATTCTCAGTGTGTGTGCGTGCGTGCGTCAAATGACTGGTGTCTGCATAATCACCCAATGTCGGCATAATTGAAGACATTGGGTGAGATATCTCGTTTACATAAGTTTGAAAAATGGCTAAAGTGTCGGGGTGGCCTTGAAGATAAGGTCAAGGTCACCCAAATCGACTGCTATGTAGGCTGTCACCAAATTTGAAGA